CGGAATGCACCGCCTGCTCGGCTCACCAGACGACCCGCGTCACCGGGCGGACGTCCATCAGCGACTGCGACTGTGAACCGGGATTCTATTTTCAGCCACGACACAATGCGTCGGCGGATGGGGGGAGCTGCCAGCGATGCTCAGAGTATTTCGCCTGCCCAGGTACACACACTGGCAAGCAACGAAGCTGCCTGCCTGCCTGCTTGCTTGCTTGCTTGCTTGCTCGCTTCATTCATTCAGTCATTATATTTATTGGTGCGTGTGTTGATCCAGGTGGTCAGATGGAGCTCTCTCGCGTGAGCGACGTGCTGCTGCCTGGCTACTATCTCGATGGCAACGTGACGAGCGTCGATTCGGTTTATCGGTGCCGCATTCCGACCAGCTGTCCTGGCCAGGGCGTTAGGCAATGCGCAGCCCATGCCCACGCGATCGGCTGCGGCAAATGTGACCCCCAGTTTTACCGCTGGGGCCCGAAAAGAGGCTGCCGCAAGTGCATTCTCAGGTCTCACTCGGCGAGTGTGTTGGTGGTCTTGGCTTTTTTGAGCGTCACGCTGCTATTCCTAATCACGGTTGCGATTCTCTTGTATTCGCGGACGTACATTAGCGAGGCTCATCTGCCGGCCACGCTGACACGGAAGACAGAGAGACATGGATCCAAATCCGCCGTGTAAGCAACACTCACTTGGATGCGTATATGTCTCTTGTCTCATCCTGTGTCCGACGCCCTGTCTGGGCATTTATGAATCGACCGTACAGGGCGATCGTATTGAGTTTCGTCCAGGAGGTGGCCGCCTTTTATGGTCTCACAGTGACAACCACAAACAATAGCATCTTGGGGCCCTTAGGGAACCAGCTGTCATTGCTCTTTCTGGATACGAATGTGTTGGGGCTGCCGTGCTGGGCTTCCGCCCTCGCTGACTACGAAGGCCACGTCGTCGCTACCACAGTGATGCCGCTGCTCTATGTTATCATCGTAATCGCCCTACACATCATCATGTGGGTGAGTAGCCAACGTGTGTAAATGCCATATATGAACTTGTATGTCATGCTGGGTCAGCTGTGGTCGGAGCCCATCCTTCGCTTCCTTGAAAGCAGGCGGGCCGATAGCCTGTCGCGTGGATTGAGCTGCGACGCCAAGCAGCGCACAAGTCTGCTGGCCTGGGTCGCAGAGAGGACTGTGAGTGACTTCTGGCTCCGGAAACTCGCCGAGTGCGCGTCTGGACCTCACCCTTTGACAAGGGAAAGTGATTGGCTCAATGACTGATACGCCCGCGTCATGCGCTCACGGGCGGGTGTATCTGTGTGTGGTGGCTGGACGATCAGGTATGTGCGTGTCTGACAGCGACAGCCTCTCTCTTCTACGTCATTCTGGGCCGCCTGGCGTTCACGGGCATCGACTGCTTCGATGTAAAGGGTATGATACATAAAGGGTGCCAAGACGCACACACGCACACACATGATGGATCGCGTTATGTGCATTTTGTCTTGCTGCACCGGCTGCCAACCGACAGCATCCCAACGGCACGGCGAGCGTACGTCAGTTCCCCCATGTGCTGTGCGGGCTCAAGAGCGGCTCACCCGAGAGGCGGACGACCCTGCCGCTCACCGTCCTCAACATCATACTCCTCGTCGCAACGCCGCTCGCGGCCACCACATTCGCGGCGCTCTATGGCCAATGGACGCTCACAGCACAGACAAAGGGTACGCGCACTTATCCATATATGTGCGGGCTCATGTGTGTGTGTGTGTGTGTGTGCAGGCGGTGCGATCCAGTACCAACTCTGCGACCCATTTCGGTATTTCTACCAGCGATTCTGTGAGTCGGCGCCCTGGTGGGAGATCATCCGAATGGGATACAGGCTCTTGATTGTCCTTGCAACCGTCGTCCTGCCTGACAACGGCAGCCTCCAATTACTGTAAGAGCTTGCCTGTCTCCGTCTCACTCATGGCTTGGCTGCCTGGCTGGGTGCAGCTACGTCTCGGTGCTAGTCGTGGCGTACATGCTAGGCCTCGTAAGCACACACACTGACGGAGTGTGCAAAGCGGAATGGACTCTGAGCAATTCTTGTGTCTTTCCTTGTGTGATTGTGTACGATGGATGCAGTTCGTCATCGTACCGTGGCGCAGCCGACGAGACAGCGCATTCGATATGATACTAAAGATCTTGTCATTGCACATGATGTATGTGAGATTCATCTCACTAATGCTCTCACGCACTCACTGATCCTATCAATGTCCTTTCAGCGGATTGCTCGGGATCTTTTTCATCGAAGAGCCCATCCGTCCCGCAGACTACCCAATCGCCATCACCTTCGTCGGTCGGCTCCCCCCCC